TTGACTATGAGGATTAATTAGGATTATCTATGTACATTCATAATTTTCTACTTCTCATGTCACATTTTTTTCAAATTATGTTGAGCTTATATTTGATGTGGTATCGAGGCATGTTCCAAACGTATTCGGGCTCAAAAAATTCAAACACAATTTGTAGGGTCAATACCAGCATTAGGGTATGTTGACAAGTGTCGTTCATGTCGAACAAGTATCAGTGTCCGATATGTGTCTGATATTGGTCGACACATTTTTAGAAGTATTAGTGCTACTTAGAAAGTAATAAATAACTAGAATCCTTGTATTGTCAGTTAAATAAAATTTTGGGTTTTATTTATGTTGGAGTTGTGGAGCCTTGGGCCTTGGATGCACAAACAACCACAAGGAAGCTGCTAAGCAGTAGGCCGAGCACCCAGAAAGGTATCTCGCACGGCGAACTCGTGTTAGTATGCTGTGCCCTTGTTGGGGTCTGCAACGCCTCCATGCCGCTTTCAACACCTGTGCTCGGTTACAGAGCTGGGGACATTCCCACACCAAGGAGATGAGCGAGCACTCAATGGGTTGTTCCTTTTATTCAGTTTCCTTAAATTTGTAATTTTTATTGAAAAATAAAGTATATATCTCGTGTGCATTTCTTTGCCAAGTTTTTTCTGAAGTGAAGAAGGGTCAAAGAGGAGGGATTTTGTGTGTGTTTTTCTTGTAGGATCAAGAGGAAGGATTTGGAACGAAGCCCCATAAGTTTCATTCATTGTAGATACGAGAACTGAGTGAGTATTCCATACATTTCTGATTTCATAGTGGGATTTTCTTGGTGTTATGGCTCTATGGTTTTTTCCAATCTCAAGTTTTCCAACATTAAATCCAGGTGCATATTTTATCTGAATTGTCTTTGTTGTGCTTTCTTTCAAAATTTTTTGCCTTGGTTTTCTTAAAATAGTGTTTATTCTGCATTGTGGTTTTGATTCTAATTGGATCGAAACACTAGTAGAAATATAAAGGATATTTCTATTCATCTCCAAACAAAGTGATACCAGAATGGAAATTTGATTTGGGTGGGAGCAATGGTCGACAAAGCAAGGTACAAAGTGAAGAAGTTCAATGTGATGAACTTTGTATTCTAGAGGATGCAAGTGGAGGATTTGTTGTATCAGAAAAAATTATGTATACCACTACAATGAATCACTAAGAAGCATGGGTCTATAACTATGGAGGAATGATAGGTGGTTGATCGAACAATATTAGGTTTGATTTATTCATCACTTTTATCATCTGTTGTGTTCAACATATTGATTGAGAAAACCATAGTTGATCTCATGATGACACTAACAAAGATATTTGAAAAACCTGTTACTTCAAATAAATTTTTTTTTCTAATGAAGAGGCTATTCAACATGAAGATGGTGGAACATAGTTTAATGGAAAAACATATGAACAATTTCAACTATGTAATGAGTTAGTTGTATTATGTAGGGATCAAGTTTGATGATTCGGTAAGGGCACTGTTGATACTATTTTCATTGCTGACATTATGGATGGTGGTTTGGTCACAGTGATGAGCAACTCTTCTTGGAATACTAATTGAACTTCGATGACATCATGAGGTTGGTGTTGAATGAAGAAGTTTGTAGAAAGTCAGTGAATGATGAATCTTCAGGTTCTGTATTGAATGTGAAAAACGGAGGAATGAATCTTGACAAGAATACAAGTAGAGATAGATCCAAGTCTATAAGGAAAAGTCCAGGTCAAACAAAAAAATGGTAGATGAAAATGTTGGAACTGTAGAAATAAAATACATTTCAAGGTCCCTAAAGCTCGATACAAAGCTGGTCGTGGAAACTAGAAAAAGAATCTCTACAAAAATCTGCACAAGAAAAATTGAAAGTGACTCAATGGAGTTATTTTTAATCAGTACTAAATCTTGGATAATATATTCGGGTGATTTTTTTCATTCATGTCCCAATAAAGAGGCATTAAAAAATTAAACTCATAGTGAGGTTTATCTAGTACAACAAGGTCTACAATATTGTAGGAAAGGGTGATGTTGATATCAAGTTACCAAATAGAACAATCTTGAAGTTTACTGTGGTTATCCATGTTTCATATTTGAAGAGATATCTCATCTTTGTGAGTAGGCTGACAAAGTTAGGGTTCATGATCATGAGGCAATCATATGGCTCGAGACAACATTGAAGGCACTCTTGACCTAATCAATGAAATTGTAGATTTCATTGATGTGGCTAGAACCAAGGTAGATGCAAGTTTATGACACCATAGGTTTGAGCATATGAGAGAAAGTCACTACTTCCATAGAATAAACTTCAGGGTTTGAAATTAGTATGTTTGGAATTCTATAAAAATCATATATATGACAAGCAGAAGAAAATTCACTTTTTTAAATGCCAGAAATGAAGTAAAAAAAAATTGAATTTAGTGTATACTGAAGTATGAGGTCCTACTCCAGTTATGTTTATTGGATGTTTCCACTATTATGCCACATTTACCAACAATCACACGAAAAAGGTATAAGTTTACTTCTTAAAGCAAAAATCTGGCATATTTGAAGTTCTTAAGAAGTGGAAGAGTGTCATAGAAAATAAGATAGACTTGAAGCTTAAGTTTCTCAGATAAGATAATGGGGATAAGTATGGTGATCAGTAGTTCGAGAATTTCTATGCTATATAGGAGATTAGGCATTAGTTTATTATCCCAAAGACACTACAACATAATGGTGTGGCTGAGCTCACAAATAAAGCAATGATGAAGCATGCCAAGAGCATGAAGCTACATGTGGGTTTGCCAAAATAATGTCACACTGAAGCGGTAAACACCATAATTTATTTGATTAACCACGGTCCATCAGTACTTTTGCAGAAATGTTTACCTGATGAAGTATGCAGTGAAAAGAAGGTAAATCTATTTCATTTAAAAGTATTTGAGTGTTCTGTAACTGCAAATATTGATGTTGGGTCTATAAGTAAGCTTGACTTGCGATATGTCAAGTGCACCTTCATTATATATAACTCAGATGAATTTGGATACAAGTTTTGGGATTATCATAATAAGAAATTCATTAGGAGCAAAGATGTTACATTTAATGAAATGAAGATGTACAATGACTAAGTCATAACTTGAGATAGCCCGTCAGTTACTTTTGAAGAGTCCAAGTATGTTGAGGTAAAAGACATTGATGAATTAAGAGGGTGAGAAAAAAGAGGAGCTCAACCAAATAGAGCACAAGTAGTTCCTCAGTCACCTACTAGAGAAGTCAGGGGGTCCAATAGAATGATACGATTGATACACATATATTCTCCTTTGTTACACTATTTGTACCATAGTGCTTTGAAGATGCCACTCAAGTTGAAGCTTTAAGGAACGAGTTTTTCATGGATGAAGAAATGCAGTCTTTGGAGTCAAGACAAAATTGGGTGTATTACCACATAACAAAAGGCTACTACATAACAAGTAGAACTATAGACTGAAAGAGGAGTCAGATGGTAGTATGCGCTACATGCAAGGCTTACTATGAAGGTTTTTTAGTAGAAGGAAGGAGTGAAATTCACAGAGTTTTTTTTTCGGTGGTGAAGATGGTAATTGTCGGGGTTGTGCTAAGTTTGATAGTAGAGGAATATGTACACATATAGCAGATATATGTAAAAACAACTTTTTTACATGGAGATCTAGAAGAGAAATTATACATGATTCAATCACAGGGTTTCAATGTTCTAGGGAAAG